AAGGCGATTGCGGGACCGTCCGTAAGTTTTCAACAGGGTAGCCCTGGTTTTCAAGTTCGAATTCTTCTAACGTTCGCTGTCTCAGCTGCTGTCACATTGTTCGTCCAGCCGCTTGCATAGGTTCTTGACTCTACCAGACTTATTTGCTTAGATTAACAACGTCTTACTCCATAATATGTTGTCCAAACTGGTGAAGGAGGACGAGAATTTTCCGCCCAGGAAAAAGGCAAAATCTGGCCCCCGCTATGCAGCTGAATAGAAGATACAGCTGAAGATATCGTAAAGTAAAATTTATGTGCGCGATATCTTTTTTTTTTATTATTATTCTCAAAATTCAGGGGCACCCAACGATGATTTCCCCCTAAAGGCATTGAAAACACATTTAAGGCTGTCCAGAGTACTTTTGATCGAAAAATGCATTCTAAACAGCGCTTACATAAATTTAGTCAGGAGGGCTAAAAGCGAAACTAATGATTTATAGTTTGCTCATACTAAATATAAAATATATCGTGTAATGCTGAGCGGAGAAGGCAACGAGACAGGGCCACCCAACGACTGTTTCCTCAAATACTTTCAATTGAAAACACTTCTGTAGCTATTCATAAAGTATACTTTTAGCTCTATAGAAATGCATTCTAAGTGGCGCTATAAAATTTGCATCTCAGTGTTCGGCCATTCTAGAGGAACTTGAGTCTTTTCGAAATTACGAGGAATTCAGAATTATTTTCCCGAAAATTTTAGATGCAATTTAACGTATTACGAAGGAGATAATTTTTCAGATACCTTCTTTCATCACATTTTTTAATCCGAAAATTTTAGGATTCCATTTTACTCTCTTCGAAAAATAGCCTAACCCGGTGAGTGAAATGTGAAAAATTAAAAGTTGGATGCCCTTGACCAGAACTGTGAAAAACAACAATAGGTCTAATTGCAGCACACTTTCTTGTACATTTCCTTGCCGTTGATTTGCATGACTGCAACGTGAAACGTCCAGAAAACTTCCTGGTTTTCACTTTTTATGGAGAAAATGTGGTATATGTTCTTGTTCACTTTTTCCACTGCCGCTCATTTTTTTTAGCTCCGCTATAAGATTCGTATCTGTTCGGTGCTCCTTGGGCAAATTGGATCTTTTTAAAAATTACATGGGCTTCAAAATTATTTTCCCGATTGATTGACCTGGAAGCAATAGTACCATCCCTCCCATAGCAAGTGCTGCATTGTTGCGCGAACGCGGTCGCTAAGCTTGAATATTCACGTCGCGTCACGTCGCGTATTAAACCTGGTCGTTTGCGGTCATATCGAAGCGTAAAGGTCAACAGTGGTTGTTGATGAGCGAGCAATTATTGTGCAGTTGCGATGGGTTTTGTGGAGCAAGCGGGCCAGAAGCAGGAGCACACGTTACCTGCAGATTAGCCGATGGTTATTTGGAGCAGATTCGTCGATTATTCTCCAATTTATAGCGCTTCGTGTGAAGGCGCGTGGAGATGGTCTGTTTGTTTTGTAGCCAGCCTTTAATTCTTCTTTAGTGGATAGTACCTACAATTTCAAAACTCAACAAAATGCCACTTAAACCGGCCAGGAAAGACAAGGATACGTTCAGTTGAAGGTATCTTAGCTTTGTTTTGTTATATTTTGACTTTTAGACTATTTCAGTCCATGGGAGTTTCGACGACTCATCGCATTAATTTGTCCATGTGGATATTAATATATTCATTCAGTGACACATACTACGTCTGGGCCGCCTGTGATAATACCGTACAACCATGGGCGTGGTGAAAATGGTAAATAGCGCGCATTATATACTTAGGAAACAACAAGACAGTATGTCCAGTATTAATATCCACGCCTAGTGACATCCTTAATGGGATAACTGACTGTCGATATTTGAAGGTGGTATGTCATGGTAAGTTGCACATTTTTTGGTCAGAGCTAAGTTGAAATTTTAACTGAGTGTTTTCAGCCATGTTTTTGATGCTTGGAACTCTAAAAGATTCTGTCAAAGGGAAAAGAAATTTTGAATGGTTTTTGGGTATATTTTGATTGTGGCTAAGATAGGACAGCCTTACCAGCAACCTTTAGGAAATTTCTGTGGCATAGTTATTATATGAATAAAAACCGAGACCAGAAATTTCAGTGAAAAATATCAGTAAAATTTTTTACTACACGCGATTTTCTCGAACGTCGGTATTAATCCATATACATTCCTCGGGCCTACGGCTCTCGGGATGTATATGGCTTAATACCTCCGTTCTCGGGCTTTATCTCTTACAAAATGTTTACCATCAATGAAATCGAAATATTTCATATTATTGCCGAATAATATCTGTTGTTCTTTGCAAAGTTTCGCAGCTATCGCGTTGAAAACAAAAAATTCATGACGGAAGTCAGTCATATCCCAACGCTCCTGTATTAATGACGGAGCCACCTTAAGACTTTCGGTGTTTGTGTGAACAGTTCTATTTTTCTGTTCGTCAGAGGTAATCATTGGTTCAAGAGTTGTCGGTAGATAATGCAATTTGTTAAAAAATGGAATAAAAATACAAAACCTTTTATATATAAACTATGCCGCAGATCGATTGATTTTGATTTTAGCTAAATCTCATTTTTCTACAGATTTTCAAATATGTGGAGTCAAGAACCATAAGTGGAAGTAATATCATAGGCCATGACATTATGGGCCCGGGGCGAGTGACGTATTTTGAGGCATTGTTCTCCTTAGCATGCTTAACACGCATGTCACAGTTCCACGTGGGAAACTTATTAGCTTAAGCAACGAAGAAGACGACGGGGCGAAAACGTCTCTTAAAAAGTGAATCCGCGCTGTTTCAATATTCATCGCTCTTATTCTATGTCGTTCTATTTTGTCAAATGTTGGTGAATTTTTTCTGGAGTTATGCAACAACGGCCAACAGCAAAGAAATGTACATAAAGCGAGATGCACGTGCAAAAAAAAAAAAACGGTTGTTTTGCTCTTTTTGCCGTTCTCGTTGCCGTCGGTCGTTGCTTAGCCTTCGTTGAACCGCCATCGTTCCGTCTAGTAAATAAGATATCTCACCTGGAAAGCTTGTCAAGTGTCGATTCTGATGGCTTAGAATGGAATTTTGTTCCTGGGTTTGTAGCAAATATCCAGCATAACCTCTAAGAAGAAGTCGAAAATTACGACCCAACTACCCGAGCGAAGAGCTGAAGATGATGTTATATTCCCTTTGCTGGAGAGCGTTTGGCTAGTCAAAAGTTTATTCAAGAGTGCAATAGGAATAGAGCGTTGGCAGAAGCTTCAACATATCGGGGCGGAGCTGAGAACAATGCCTTAAATTACGTCATTGTTTAACTCTACCCAGGGAACTATCTACATAGCCTACGTGTAGTCGCACCCTCCCCCTCCCCCCACCCCGTTCTAATAGGCATATTTTGTACTCTTTAACTGGGCGTGGAGGCCGTTCGTTTTACCCGATTCACTGAAATTGTACCTCGTTTTAAAACTGACAATTTTGGGGCGGATAGGCACGTAAAGAAATGTTTTATTATTTGTTGCAGGATGTTGAAAGGAACACCAAGCCGCAGCATGAAAGGCCTGATCTCATTCCTGATTTAACATCTGAATCAGAGATGGAACTGGAACAGGTTAGTCACCAGCTTCGTTTGTTTAAGTGTATTTATTTATCTTTTTTCTGCTTCATCTAACTTTCTATTCCCTTGAACTAATTAACGTTGGATTTCTGTCAAAAATAAACTACAGACAAAAGTTGGCTGCTCGGTTCTCTCGCAGGCCTCACTCGGTTGTTTTTTGGCCAAAAGTAGCCTGCTTTAGACGTTCTGATATAGTGGAAACAGAGTAAAGAGAACCAGAGTGAGAGAAAAACGACGAGGGTTTTAGGGGGCCTCCCGCCTCTTTCCTTTTTTGTCATTAGCCTTCGCTTCTTAGTTCGCTCTGAATGCAAAAGTGACTTTTGCTCTTTCTTGAAAGCACAGATTGGCTTTTTAGTCTCGCTTGCGTAAGCAGTGAGACTCATAATCTGCAAGCGGGTTTTTTTCTTCGTATTTAGTACACAAAACGACTGTTGTGGTCCCAGGCGTTCCTAGCGGAGACCGTGGAAACTGGGAAAAAGAATCGTTGCCCGACCAAAGCCACGCATGTTTTGCGAAGAAAGCTTAGGTTTAAAGCTTTTCCGGAACGGGCTGTCCATGAATTCTATCGCTTGAAAGCGTTTATTACTTTGGAACAAGTGAACACTTCGGTGGTCGAAAAAACAAAGAACTTAATTAGCAAAAGACTAACTGGTCAGGTGTTGTAAACTTTCATTGTATGCAAATGGATCTTGTGATGACTGAGCATGCGGTTTATTTTCGGCGATGATTGAAACGACGTGCCATGTAAATCACTTTTTTGATCGCTGGTCAAGATGTAATTTCTCTGGAATCGAGGCCCTTGAATTTTCGTGTATTTATACACGCGTATAGCCTGCGACCGCAGACGATATTTTCGGTCGTCGCTATCATGCGTACTAAATCAATTTAGAAACAAATAAAAAGTAAATATCCAGAAGTAGGGAGTGAAAAACCTCTAGCGAGTAAATCTTGTTTCGTGTAGAATTAATTGATTTATGAGATCCGTGTTCTTTGACAGAGGAAAGCGCCATTGAATCTGTAGTGCTCATCGAATAGCATAGGTGTAGGCACTTTTCCGTTTGAAACAAGTACGCCAGTGGGCTTACTTACAGTTAACAAAAACAAGGATGCATGGTGTTAAGTGTAAAACTAACAGTGTGATTTGTGACAGGATGAGGAAGAAATCCTGGAAGCTGATGATGAACGCCCATCATGTGAATCAGAGCAGAATCAGGCGCAGGTTGGTTATATAAAGATTTAGATTTAGATTTTTGTTTTAGCATGGGTGTGGGCAGTTTTTTAAACAAGTACGCTAATGAGCTTACAGTTTGCAAAAAGAAGGTGGATGGTGTTTTAACTTAAAAGTGTACAACTAAATGTGTGATTTGTGACAGGATGAGGAAGACATCCTGGAAGCTGACGATGAAAGGTCATCATGTGAATCCGAGGAGAATCAAGCACAGGTGGGTTATTCTCAAATTTTACCATTAGAATAATGGTTAAAAACCATCAACGTGTTATCCGTTGCTTGGTCTTTCTTAAGTACAAAAGTAGAATAAGTTACATGATCTTGTACAACTATGGGCATTGCTAAAATTATAAAATGCTTAGGAAACAACAAGACTTTTCAGACAGTATCAATATCCCAACCAAGCTTTATGTAATTCATATTTTTACACGCTTTAATACCAGTACAATGATGATGAACCTTTCGTTTTTTCGTTTCATAGCAAATCGAAACCCAGACCAAGTTCCAAGACTTACCCGAGTTCAAACATTTGCCAGTTAATGAGGTAAAACCTTCCCAGTATGACATTGCTTTCAAACAGAGTAGCCTCATTGAAAAAAAATATGGTTAATTAGGTTTCTATTTGCGCAATGCTTTACGGCATGAGCGCTACTTGATGTTTTTGTTGACTTTGTTGTTTGATCGAAACATTAAGAAGGTAAATATTGTTTCCTGATTTGTTGCCAGGACAAAAAAGGAAGCCTCAAACCAGGAGATGCAAGATCGTTTGAATCACGTGACCCTCAGGAACAGGTGGGTACTCATATTTTGTAACAAAACAAACAAACAAAGAAAAAGGCAGGGTTTATTCTGGAAATTGGCCAATGAGGGTCAAATGGGCTCCCTTCTGTAATTTTAGGGGGCCCTTTTTGAAGAAAGGGGGTCCAAGAAAGGTGGTCCCCCCAAAGGTATTTGAACTTATTGGTACAGACTGTTCCATGAGAATAGGAACGTTTATTGACGCTTTGCCGCCATTTTGGAACATTCTGGGCAACTGAAAAAGCCTGGGCTCAAATTACTGCAGAATCCCGGATGTTTGTCTTGTGAAATAATGACTCAAACGAAGAAGAGAAAGGCAATTTAGACAATAAGAGGCTAAAAAAGTTCAAAGTGAGTTTATTGAGCGGCAGTCAAATCAGTGTTGTTGTCAGTGATGTTTTCGAATACTTTATTTCAAAAAAGGTTCATAGGTCTATTGAATCAAATGTTCTGTGGTTCATAGGTCTATTTAGGTCTATTTTTTTGCGCCCAATTTGACGCGGCAACGTAAATTTTATGCGGCATTTTTTTCCAAATTTCCGAAATCTCTCAAGGCCGCGCTCTAGAATAAACCCTGAAAGGTCTCTTCATTCAAAAGCGTTTTACTGTACAATAGTATTAAAAAAGTTACTCTAAGAGGGTAGATGGTGTATAAATTGTGTGTCATTTGTTGCAGGATGAGGAAGGAATCGAATATGAACAGCCATTTTCTAAATCACAGGACCTGAATCAAAAGCAGGTGTGTTACCAGGTGATTTTCTCTGAGAAAAAAAAACGTTTAATGGTGTCAGCAGGATTTTGCTTCACAATCAAAGTTTAAAACGACGTGTCGACCGTTCCCCGTTGATTCTCGACAAGTAGGTCAAGAGTAAACAAACATTTTTGTTATTACTTTCGAACCGCCTTCTGCGACCGTTGGTAGTTTGCAACCTTTTTTCTAAAATACCAAACTTCTCTCAGTCAAAGCTTTTGTAAACTGGCGAGCTTCTTGTAAATGACCACCTCTCAAAAGCAAACGCGACCACTTTTTCAACTGATATTTTAACATTATCCATCTTTTGAAACTGCCAGTTTGCGATGAGTTGACGTGGGATCTGATATGTTAAGGATGCGAATAATGCCACGATATCCATTGTTCGCCTTATGTACTACGTAATTCTTGAAAATCTACCTGGTGATTTTAGTGACAACACGGCACTACTCGCATTTAAGCTTAAAACTGTATTTAAGAACATGAGCTGATCTGTCAGAACTGTCCCCTGTAGAGTCCACCCGTCCTCTCCCCTCCCCCTCTAACTATGATCCGACTCTCATAGCAAAACAGCAAACCATGCTCAAACTTTCTTGTTACGCAAACAAACATAGTAATATCCAGGCAAAGTTGTATCGTCAGCTGGTTTGTCAGTTCTGAATAGGTTTTTTTTAGATGAACCTTGTTCCTTGTCTTCGTAGGAAATGGGGTCACAGACTGAATTGCAAGACTCTTTACCTGAGTTGGAGCGTATCTCTCTTCATGAGGTAATTACGGCAGACTCCCGAAGTCTTCCTTTTCAGACAGTGATAAAATAAAATAAACCCTCACAGCGTGAAACGAACTTATTTAGGCTTCTTTTTGGTAACGAACATGTTAATAAGGGAGTCGGCCAATTTTGCCTTCACTACCAGAAAGACACATACAAGTGTGTAGATACAGGATCCTGCAGGTCACTGATGGTCAGTTCATTTAAGGTATTAGAACTGCTATAAAGTCAAAAAATGATCATGCTTATAAAATCGCTTCTTTGAAATGTACTCTTAACCTGAACTCAAATTCCAAAAATAAAGCATTTTCGTTGAATAGAGGCCGAGAAAGCGAAGGCCAAAGTTGGTGTCTAAGAGCGCTATTTTGAAAATATTGATAATCACAGGGCTGCGACGCGATACTTTCCGTTGTTTACAGAAATGTTGCAATTTTTCTTAACCCGACACGCGATAACTCGTTATGAGTTTCAAGTAAGTCAGGGCAAATTATAGGAAAATTCGCTTACATTCTGCCGTCTCATTATCACTGTCAACAGTGTCATGCATCTTTATAATATCGTGATACAGACACCACTTTATATAGGAAAAGGGAACGTATACCCCCAACTTGCTGAAATCATCTGCCGGTCTGTCAACTCGGGGGAGAGGTCAGCGGAAACTATAAATCGCTGAAGACAAATAAATCACATTTTACAATAACATTGTGGTGTCGATAAAATTGCTGACCTAGAATGATTCAAAATGGTATCTGACGGCTACACGATAGACCCGGTCCTGTAATCCGTACTGACAGAATAGCTATTGCTGTCTATTGCGAGATGCTAAACTGTCTGAAATACCATGCTTCTGTAGGTAGCAGAGGAGAGGTTGTGGTGGATAAGCTTGCAAGCCTCATCACCATCAAGAGACGTTTTACAATTTAATATTGTCTAATAACATTGGGTCTTTTATCCAAGGTGGGGTTCTATGATTATTTAAGTGGGGGAAGACCATACTCAGCTTTCATTCCAATGTGTGTTCGTTGTAAAATAAGTACGCTAGTGGGGTTACAGTTACATATAGAATATGGATGGTGTTTAGTATAAATGTATGATTTTTGCCAGAACGAGGGAGAAGTCATTGAATCTGAAGATGGAACACCATCCTATGAATCAGAGGAGGATCAAGAACAGGTGGGTTGCTGATATTTTTTATAAAGATTTTGTTTGAGAGACTGTGCAATAATTATCAGGGGTAAACATGTTTAATTAAACTACCAGTTTTTGAAACTGAATGAAAAACTGCAGAAGTAAACTAAAACACAGGCTTTTACACAAAATTCGAATGAACTTTTACGCGTTACGTAATTGCACTAAATTTGCAATCGAAAAAAGTACAGTAGGCAGCTTTTATAAACAAGCAAGGAAGGAAGGGGCATTAGTCTAGCTCAAGTTAAGCACAAGTCAGAGTAAAATAAGTTGTATAATACTGTACAACTATGGGCGTGGTTAAAATTGTAAGTAGCGCGCATTATATACTTAGCAAACAACAAGACAGTATTAAAATTCACGCGAAGTTGCATACTACAAGAGTAAACTAAGCTGTATGATACTGTACAACTATGGGCGTGGTTAAAATTGTAAATAGCGCGCGTTATTTTACTTAGCAAACAACAAGACAGTATTAAAATCCAGGCGAAGTTGTATCCTTAATATCATATGGGATAACTGTCGATATTTGAAGGGGTATGTCATGGTAAGGTTCCACATTTTTTGGTCAAAGCTGACTTGAAATTAAAACTGAGTGTCCTCAGTCATTTTTGTCATGCCTGGAACTCTAAAAGACATTCTATTAAATGGAAGAGTAATTATGATCGGTTTTTGGACATATTTTGATAACAAAAGGATGTTCAGCTACCTCAACCGACACAGGGAAGTAAAGCGTTTGCAGAAACCGTTTGCAGATGTCATTACAAAGGCAGCACTTTCTTCTCAATTATTTAAAGACCCTGAGTGTTGGTTCGGCTGGGGTTTGAACCCGCGACCTCCCGCTCTGCAGACCGGCGCTCTCCCAACTCAGCTAACCAGGCCTTGGCTAAGATAGAGCAGCCTTACCAGCAAGCTTTAGGAAACGTTTACGTAGGGTAAAAAAGGAAAGAACTTAACATAGGCGAAGACTGATGTAAAAAAGCTAGCGAATAACTGAGACAATGACTATTATACTTTGCTAAACCGGAGGAAATCTGAGCGTAATAACCAAGTGTCGATTCTGATTGCTCAGAATGGAATTTTATTCCTGGGTTTGTACCGAATATGTAGCAAAACTTCCAAGACGAAGTCGAAAATTATGACCCAACTACGCGAGGTTTCGGAGGGGCTGAAGATGAAGATGTTGCAATTTCCTACGCTGGAGAGCCTTTGGCGAGTCAACAGTTTATTCAAGAGGACAATAGGAAGAGATCGATAGAAGAGGAGTTACGGCAGAAGCTACAAAAACTGGGAGGAAGTAAGAACAATGCCTTAAACTACGTTATTGTTTCTAGCCTACGTATGGCCGCACCGTACACGCCCCGCACCCCCCCCCCCCCACTCCCCCAGCTCAAATAGGCAAATTTCGTACTCTTTAACTGGGCATAAAGGCCGTTAGTTTTATGCGATTCACGCAAATTGTACCTTGTTTTAAACCTGAAGTCGCATAGAATTCGCTAAAATTTTTAACAAACCCAGGGTGATATGCACTTTAAGAAATGTTTTCTTATTTGTTGCAGGATGTTGAAAGGAACACCGAGCCGGAACATGAAAGGCCTGATCTCATTCCTGATTTATCATCTGAATCAGAGATGGAACTGCAACTGGTTTGTCACCAGCTTCATTTGTTTAAGTTTATTTACTTTTTAGCAGAAGCATATGCTTCTGACTTAATTCAGTTTTATTGTTCTGTCCGTAAGAGATAATCAAACACGCTTGGGAGCCTTCGTTAATTAGCGTTTATTAATGAGGATTTACGAGTTGGTGGTAGTTAATAACACAGCAGTTACATTAAAAGTTTTGAAATGAGAACCCGTGCATTAAGAAAAGTTTTATTTAATTGTTGCAGGCTATTCTAAGAAGCCTCATGATTCCACCTGAATTGCCTGATCCATTATCTGAATCAGGGATGGAAGAGAAACAGGTTAGTCATCCACTTCTCTTATTTTAGTTTATGCACCTATCTACGTAAACCCCGTGGGGGGGGGGAAGTGCGGGCAAGGGGTGGGGATTTGACAAATTTTAAAATTTTTTGATCAAATTCCCCAGGGTGGGAGACGAAAGGTCAATCAAAAGTGTCAAAAAAGCCCCCACCCCAGGGGAAAAATCTAAACAAGCAATACTATAATACTATATAAAACGAATGAAAGAACATTTCAAAAGTACGTTCTTACTACTTTTATTTAAGGTTAACGTAAGCTCCGTTAAATTACTCGCTGTAATTAAGTATTTTTCTCTCCACTAGCATCTCTTATTTTGAACAACATA